TCTGGTGTGCTGCTCCACCAGAGAGGCACGGAGGCGAGACGCACTGTTGCCCAAAGTGCGCTCCTTCATGAGCCCGATCACAGCTCTGTCACAGGACAACCTGGGAGGGGAAAGAGGTGATCAGAGGTTACTGGAGAAAACCACAGAAATACATTACTGTTGCTGTTACTGTTTACATTACTTACTTGTACGTGAGAACTGCTGGAAACTGCTCACGATGGGCCATGTCCAGCTGTCCCAAGATGTCCTGCGACCATCCCGGCATCTTCTTGTGACAGGAGCTGCATTCCAGGTACTCCGTGCCCATGAAGTACCAGCAGCTCCTGTCCAAGACCCTCCCTCACCGTCTTGTAGAGGCCAGCTCCCGCAAGCTTGCCCCCACAGGCGACGATGGGGCAGCGGAGGTGGTACGCCCACATCCTGTAGGGCACCCACAGGAAAAAGGGACTCTGGAAAAAGGGGTGGGCTGTGGCGGGTGGCTGGGTGTAGAGGGGCCGGGCACCTTGGTGGGTGCCACCACAGGCGGAGTTCAGATGTGAGGACACCCTGCCCGTTGGGTGCCCTCCTGAACAGTGCCCGGCCCACCCAGTCGTGCTGCTCTTCGGGGAGCGTCAGCCTCCAGCCACGTGGTAGCAGCTGAAACACACAGCAGTGTCAGACCGTTAGTGTACTGAACACAGACACACACACACACTACAACACAATATGTCATCACTGAGCATACCTGTGCGCCGGGGCCTGACCTCTCCCCACAGGTGTTGTCCTGAAGGGGACGTTCCGGTGGCTGGGAGAGAGAGAAGGGGGGGCACGGCTGATGGGGCATCCCTGCACGGGTCGACCTCCATGGCGGCAGCGAGCAGGTCAGCATCCGAGGGTCCATCCTGGGGACCAACAGCGTCCAGGGGTGGTTGTGGTGGTTGTGCTGCCAGGGCTGCCTTCTCTGCATCCCGGGCCTGCACATATTTTTTTAAGTCCACCAACCTGGACGCTTTGGCTGTGGGTGCCGCCTGCCTCACAAACTGTACATAGCTAAAAAAGAGAACAGAAATGCAATGGGTAAAAAAGTCACGCACACACACAGACATACACACACAGACACACACAGATACACACACAGACACACACAGACACACACACACACACACACACACACACACACACACACACACACACACACACACACACACACACACACACACACAAACAAACAAACAACTTACCTTGCCCGCTCACGGTCCGTCGACTCGTACAGGGTCTTGTAGGTCAGGTCACTATGAACACCGAACCCCACCAGCGTGTCGTCCACGCCCCTCATGGTCTGGGGACTGCCCTCGAGCATCCTACGCCTGTCGATGGCTGCCACCATCGGCGGGAACAGCCTGGCGTAGGAGACGAGGGCGTCTTTGTGCACCATGAGGGCATTCTGCTGACTAGTGCCCCCTTTGTCTCTCTCTCCCTCGTGGGACACACAGATGGTGACTGCGTATCCCACGTCATTCTCCAGCAGCCACCGGAACGTCTGACCACGGTACTGGCCGAGCTGCAGCTCGCTCTCGGCCAGCACCTGATGGTGATCGGTGGGGTTACCTCCCTTCTGCACCACCCTGTCTCTTGCCTCAGAGCGCACCAGCTCAGGGGTCTTAACCACCACCAGGGCAGTGGCAGAGGCAGAGGCCCCCCTCTGGCGGCGGCTCAAGGCCAGCGCCTCCTGAGAGGCCCGCAGGGTCAGGTCAAGGTTTGCCTCAAAGCGGAAAATAGGCTGCATTTTCTAGAAAGACAAGAAATAAGATTTAAGTCAGTAATCTGCTACACATGCACTGTTTACATCCTACTGACAGTCTATTACTGTACTCAATGATACTGTGCCCATTCATTAACATACATTCAACATCAGGCGTCCTGTTTACACATTTAAACCATATTTACACTTTGAATTTTGACTTCAAACTGTAGTAACTACATCTACAGGGTCTAAGGAAGATAATCAGGTAGTCTGTTTAAAGATTAAATACATTGTGAGAGATCGCCAGCCCTCAGAAAAGTAGTAACTAAAATGACCTCATTCACCTCCTTGTTTTTAGCTAGCAAAATCACGGCTGGTCTGTTTACACATTTTAAACCATATTTACACTTCAAATTTTGACTCCACCTCGTTGTACCAGCATACCAAGGGTCTTAAGAAGTGAGCCAAGTTGTCTCATCACGTTTTTAAAGCGTTTCCAGAGATCGTCAGCTCATCACAGCAGTGGCTAAATGCTCATTCATTTCCAACGCTTAGCATGCTAATAGCGATTTATATGCTAACGCATCTAAAGCACAGTTAAACTTTAAATATCAACTCCACACAATAGCAGTACAATATCCTAGGTCTCAACAAGTAAACCCAGTATGGGAATATTATTTTAAACACATTTCACCGATCGGTAATGACATCGGCGGCAGTCCTAACTTACGCTAACGTTACATTGGCTCGCTGTTTCACTGCTAACTGATTACTGTATAATATATAAGCTGCCTTTTCAATGTAGCACATAATTTTACAAACAATAAAGTTTGTCTAACCTTATAATATTGTGTGAATGTCCGTCCGTCCGCTCACTCAAACGCCGCTCAGTCCGAATGAATGAATGACACTGACCGTGGCTGTGGCTTTGGGGGTGGGCGGGACATGCGGCGAGCTGTCGAATCACAGCACAGCACCCAAATGGAACAGACCAATGGGGTTGACCTGGCCTTCACCCATTGGCCTGTTCCATTTGAGCATGAGCCAATGATAGCCTCTGAAATCGGTAGGTGGGGACATTTATGTGGAACACAGGTACAGAGACGAAGGCTGTCCAGCAGAGGCGCTCCCCCAGCGTTCTTCTCTGTTTTGGTCGGCACCCGCGCATGCGCACTAGAGCGCAAAAGACGCGCGGTCGACGTGCGGAACGGCACTCCCGCTCGCCGGTTCGAATCCCGACGGAGGCAAACTGCGAAACGCGTGCATAGCGTCGAAATGTCTTCTCTAAATATAAAAAAATGATTAAAACATGCTTGGAACCGTTGTATAGAGTCTATAAATGATAATGAATTTGCATATTTCCAAGGCCAGGCAATGCAATAATAAATGGATTTTTCATTTACAGTACGGTTTATCTCCTGTGTCTTCATTTTATTGAGAATATGTATCATCAGTGTTTATTGAGAATATGTATCATCAGTGTTTATTGCTTTAAATTTGATATAGGACAAGAGAACAATGATACCAGTATAAAATGATGACAATTTATTTGAAATATGAAGTCAGATGTCCAGGATACAGGACAGTGCAGCATATCAGTGTGGAAAGGGCTTTACAAATAAAATACAATTCTCAGTAAAAAAGGGTAAATAAATTATTTATGTATAAATTAAAGTTACATGCTGTGTATGATTTGTTTCCCCTTTTTCTTCAGTGAAATAAATATCAATTAAATATATTGTTGTTGTGTTCTGCATCTTCACAACAACAACATCAAACACAGCAGAAGTACAGAGCAAAATAGATTATTTAAACTACAATCCATAATAATAATAATAATAATAATAATAATAATAAATGGTGATGCAGAACAGAGCAGTGGCACAAGGCAATCACAGCAGGCAGACACATAGTATAAGAGCTCAGCACAGATATGCATGGATACATAACACAGGGGCATTACAGTGTGAAGTACCTGTACATACAAGGCTTTTTATTTTTTTGGCAGCAACAGAGCCAGTGGCAACAGCAGATGAACCAGCACAAATGGCAGTCCGATATCTTGCGTCGCAGCTACTGGATGTAACTGATGTAACAGTGATCACATTAATGAACATACCCACATGTCCAAAATATAAAAAATAAAAAAACTTGTCAGTGCATAGAATCAGAACAGCACAGAGGCATGACAGCGTGTTATACAGGTGTGAATGGGACACACAATGATTTCCCCCCTTAAACCATATGACAGGCAGCAGACACACAGCAGGCCTATAAGACTTGTCAGTGCATAGAATCAGAACAGCACAGAGGCATGACAGCGTGTTATACAGGTGTGAATGGGACACACATTTTTTTTCCAAGCAGAGTGTCACTGTGCTGTAGAAGAGTTGTGGCAGGGTGGGTGGACCGGTGTTGGTAGAAAGCCTCCACACTGCGGCAAAGTCCCGGTCCTTGTGGAGGGGAAAGTCAATGTCTTTTTAAAAAAAAACACACACACAACACTGCAAACAACTATATACACCTGCCCCAGCAAGAGTGCGAAATCAGTCCGGGGCTCGACCCTGGTCCCTCTCCTTCATCTCCCTCAGCCAGTCCTCCACACTCTTACCCGCCGCAGCAGAGCAAAAATGTTCACTGCCGTAACGGGTGTGTCCGGTCTCCCTCCGCTTTGGCTGGCCGCACTTCCTGCACTTCTGTACTTGTGGCACGCCGGCCCGGGCAGAGACACCTGTTCCTGGCGGTGCCGCTGCCCTCTGCTCGGCCTTCTTCCTCCTCAGCCATTCAGTTTTGTACGTAGAGAGAGGCTGAGGAGGAGGAGCAGGAGGTGCTGCCTGCACTGCTTGTTGTCCTTGCTGTCCTGGCAGCAGCTGCAGTGCAGGCAGCTGAGGGCCGGCGTGACGTGCGGCGGCCAGCGGCAAAGGGAGGACGTGTGGGGCTGGCGTTGTCCGAGGGAGCGTTGGGATGGGGGGGGGGATGGGGAGCACCCTCACACTCTGCTGGGGCAGTGAGAGGTCCAGGAGGAGAGGCTGTGTAGCTGCAAAAGGTCCCGTTGCAGCTGCTGCAGCAGCTGTTGGTGGTACGGCCAGGACAGCAGCTGAGGGGGCAGGCGGTAAAGGCGCCAGTAGCCGTCTGCACACAGACACCGGTGCTGCCACAGCCGGTGCTGCTGCCAGAGTTACCGCCGCCCTTGCCGCTGCTGTCGTCGCCTGGCCTGCAGGCACCACCGTTGCTGCTGCTGCCGGAGGACGATCCACCGCCGGTGCTCCTTGGCCCGGGCGCTGCCGCTGTTGCTGTCGCTGGCGCCACCGCTGCCGCCGCCGAGCCCGCTACCGCTGGTGGTCGTCCCTCTGCTGCAACGCCTGGAGCTAGCACAGCCATCTCCTTCTCCCGCTGCGTCCTGGTGAACCTGAGAACGGATTTCAACATAGTATTTTAGTTACATGTACAATTTTGAGAGCATGTAATTCAAGCATGTCATTACCATAACATATAACACTGTCCAAAGCATCAAACATACCACAGCGAGAGGGTCCTGCTATTCAGCTCATAGAGCTGGATGGGCGCCCGAGCCATCAGCCTCTGGTGGCCCAGCACAAGGTCCCGGATGTGCTGGTACCGAAGCAGTTATGCTGTCCCACCGCGACCGCCGGGCACCGCTCACACGGGTGCCTGAGGGGCACACGCGGCAGAGCTGGATGCACACTGCCTCTACCAGCCGGCTTGCACTGGGACTGCTGGCAGGTCCAGAGGTCTGTCCGACCAGGCAGCTGCGGACAACGGACAAAAACAATGATGGATATGAGCATGCTGTGAACATTACAATAGCTCGTGTGTACGTCAGGGAAACGTGTGATGGAAGTGTAGCCTTACCGTCTCATGTTCTCCACACCAGGTATACTGGTGCGGCTAGGCTTCGCTGCCTTGAAGCGCCCCGAGCTGGCCTGTCCCTGTAGCGGGGAGGGTAAACTACTCGGTCCCTGTCGAATTTTGACAGGGCCTCGTAGAGCCTGATTAGCTCATCTACCCTCCCCTCGGACAAGGCCGGTTCGAAACGCACCCCACCAAGGCCGTGGCCAACTGGACCACGGCCAGGTACCCCCGGCTGGTCATCTGGTCCTCTGTAGTCCTGCAGACACACAAGCAGAGACAGAAAACAATCAGTCAGATGAATGGGAGGAAAAGAGCGCAGTGTGGTGATGTGAGATGCAGAGGTGGCGTGCCTACCTCAGCAGCCTGCTGAGGCTCTGACGAGGACCGGCCGGGGGAGTGGGGTGCGGGCTCGGGGGCAGTGGTCGGACGGGATGGCTCGGGCGCGGGTGCGTCTGCCGGTTGCCCTGACCGCGGGTCCAACTGAGGAGCTGGGACGCCAGGCACGTGGAGGGTGAGGTCATCCACCTCCTCGTGGGCGACGTCAGATTCTTCCTCAGTGGGTGGGGTAAGAGGAACGTCCCCCCCCGCGTCCGGAGTGTCAGGGTCCAAGCTGACGTCCTGCAGCACTCTGCCCGTCTGGGAGTACAGGTACTCAATCCCGATGAGCTCCCCTGAAGTACAACAACACAAATCACGTCACTCAGTCTGGTACAAATATGACTCAGTGTGGACACGCGTAAGCGTGGTGGCTTGAGTGTCCTTACCGGTGTACTCCCTGGGCTTGGTGTAATCCTTGACCACACTCGTGCCAAGCACCCTTTGGCTGAGCTGGTCAAGGGAGTGCTGCAGGGGGGCCACTGTAGGAGCGGAGCAGCGGACGTCCCTCCTGTGCCGCGGACGCCGCCCTGTCCTCGTTCCACCGCGTCAACCCCTCCAGGAGAAATGCCTGAAAGTGCCATGGATTGGCACTTTCTCCTGAGGAGGGTCACAGATGTGTTTAGCAGTTTATTCAGTGCACACAATGTGAATGACAATGAGTCAACGACAGTGAAAGATTGACATAGCAGTGAAACATGTGGGTTTACCTGGGATAAAGCGGTTGAGATGCAGGTGGAACGACTCCAGGGACGTGGAGCCTCGTGCACAACGGTACACCGGCAGGCTGATCCCCCCCTTGGTCAGCCTGCTCGTCTCGGTGTACAGCTCCACGTCGGGCGGGTCCTGGATGCACTGGAGGTGACGCCGCTGCTCCGTCCAGATTGCCTGGATGCGGTCCTGGTCCAGCAGGGGAATCCCCATGGTGTCCCGTCCGTTGGCACCGCCGAAGGTTTCCAGGAGGTCACCGATCAGCCGCTCCGTCTCCGCCGCTCCACGCGTGCGGCGACGGCAATGGATAGCCATATCCCTGCGGCTGACGTGCCTCCACACTCCGGCGTCGGACGAGAAGGTCATCCCCTGCGCCTCAAGCATCCTCTTCTTGGCGTCGAGCAACCGGGCTGCGTCCTCTGGGTCCCACAGGAAGATGCACAAGGACAGCTGCTGCAGGAAGGGCTTATACAGCTGGTGGCTCTCGGTGGTGACACCCGACGCAAAGCGGCGCATCAGGTGCCAGATGTCGAGCCGGACCACCAGCTTGTCCCACTCCTTGAACACCTCAGGTGCCTTGGATGTCCCGTGGGACGAACAACAGTCCCGGTCGACGTAGAGGAGCTGAGGGCGGCTCCACCCCAGCGTCCCGGTACTGCCGCATTAACCCCGCAGCCATGGACAACAGACCGGCCCCCTCGGCGTCCGTGAGCACGGACAAAAGCACCTGTCCGTGCTCGTTGCCGACGTTGGTTGCCCACGCTGCGGTCTGGGCGGCAGCACCGGCGAGCTTCCGGGTCACCTGTTTGAGAGAATAACGCACATCAGTAAGGCTGCACGCACATAGCCAGAGCATGATACTCAGCTTGTGCTATAGTACCACATTTACCTTCTTGGTTGAATCCATCTTCAGGATGCTTCCAAAGATGGAGGTGACCCGGGCCTTCACGTCCTCCAGGCGGGAGAGGATGTCGTGGCAGTACACCAGTAACAGATTTGGTGGTGGGGTGCACCTGCGCACGACACCTAGCGACGCGAAGGGCTCCATGACGCTGAGGTAGTGTATGGACCGCCGCATCCAGGCCTCTGTGTGTGCCTCACAGAGTTTGTTGTACAGCTGCGTGGGGCTGTTCCCCCGAGTACGCTCACGCAGCTGTATGATGACCCGCCGGTCGCAGGCAAGCCTACAGAGGAGCACATTATGTGTTACAGAAGAGCCACACACAGAGACGCTGCGTGACAGTGTTCAGACAGCTACTTACTTGTAGGTGAGGATCGCTGGGAACAGGGCGCGATGCCCCTCTCCCAGCTGACCCACGACCTCCTGCGACCAGGCAGCTACCTTCTTCTTACACCGACAGCACTCCAGGTACTCGGTGGCCATCAAGTACCAGCCGTCGATGTCCAGGACCCTCCGGATGGTCCTGTAGAGCCCACACTTGGTGAGGGCCTTGTTGCAGCATGTCGGCCGGACGCCCCCACAGACGCAGGGGCGTCCAGAGGAACAGCCGACATGCGAAGAAGGCAGCTGGTGAGGCGGGTGGCTGAGTATAACTCGGCCGGGGCTGAGGGGGATCCCACCACAGCTTGAGGTCCGTGGTGAGTTTAGTCCTCCCCTTGCTGTCTGGCTGGAACAGCTCCCGGCTGATCCACTCCTGCTCTTCCACGGTGAGAGCTGTCCGCCAGCTCTCAGGCAACCGGGCCTGTGAGGAAAAAACAACACAAACAAACAAACACACTGTAAGGAGGCTGAGTCGGTGCTACATGCAGTTTGACAGTCGACTCCACTGAGTTGTGCGTCCATGAGTACAGGTGGGTGTGTGTGTGTGTGTGTGTGTGTGTGTGTGTGTGTGTGTGTTTGTACCTCAGCTGAAGCAGGAGTGGGAGCTGCGGGCTGCTCCACATTCCTCTCCTTCCTCTTCCATCTCCACCTCCTCCGACGGTGCCGGAGGAGGTGGAGATGGAGGCGTCACCACCAGCGGGAGCGGGAGAGTCTGAAGGACCTGTACGTCAGCTTCAGACACAGTCACACACAACAAAATAGATTCAGCACAATGATAGTCATGGGACAAGACTAAGTGAGTCTGAGTGTTGATGACATGCAGTATGCCAGTGATTAGGGCAGAAGGTTTAGTGCTACAAGATGCAGCAGAGCCAAGGGTAGTAGACATGTGAAGGCGTTTAATCAAATCTACATTACCGCCACATGAGTGAGGATGGCACTACCACCTACGAAGATGGCTATATTACCTGCCAAACCTACCTTTGTCCTTCAAGCATCAGCTGTAGCGACCAGTAAATGAAACAATTACAGTTAATACAAACACACTGACAGAAGAATATATATTGATGGCAAATGTGACACGTCCAGTTTGGTGCCAGTTACCTGTTTCTATGTCAGTGGCCATCTGGACCAGTTCCTCGTCCGTCACCTCTGTGGCGTGGGGCGGCGGCGGAACCGAGGGGCGCTGGTCTCTGAAGGATGTAGACACCGCTATGGGGGGGTTGGGCAATGGTTAGTAAATCATGTACAGTGAACTGTACTCTGTTGTGTTAAAAGAGAAAGAAAGAGATCTACCTCGAACTGCAGGCTGTGCAGGTGTGGTCATCAGCTTCCTGACCTTGGCCTGCAGCTCACCTGGGCCCATGGGACGCCGGCGGCGATCTTGGAGGCGATCGGCTTGTGTGGCTACAGCGCGGTGGAAGCAGCGGCCTTGCTGGGGCCACTGCTGGTGGTGGTGGGGGCGCTGCTGCTGATGCTGCGGCTGCTGGTGGGTGGAGGGGGGTAGCAGCCGCAGCTGCCGCCTCTGCCGACCGCTTCGCGTCTCGGCCCAGGATGTACTTCCTGGCGGCGTCCATTGCAGTCCCAGGGTGCAGTGTCTTCCCTCGAAGCCACTTGACAAATCTACAACATGGACGGCATCACATTAGTGAACAATAATGACATACAGCAATTCACAATCCATTGTGTGTAGCACCAATCACTCACCCTTGGCGGTCCTTATCAGAGGACTCGTACAGGTCCTTCAGGGTGTCCTCTTTAAACTTCCCAAAGCCAACAAGGGCCTCGCCCTCACACCCGGGCTGACTGGCACGAGCCCGGGCCTCCTCGTGCGCCCGGTGGAATCTTATGTGTTCAGCGAACTCCGGGTGGGCGCACGAGTACTGGGCGAGAGCGTCCTTGTTGGCCATAAGGGGGCTGTCGGAGGCACTCTTCTCCCGCTCCCGCTGGTGGCTGGCGACCAACTGTACCGTGTAGCCCACGTCGTTCTCCAGGAGCCAACGGAACGTTTGACCCTGGTACTTCCCAAACTGGATGCTGTGGCAGCTCAGCACCAGCATGTGGTTCCCAGGGTCACCGCCCGTGGAGACGACGTGGGCTTGTGCCTCCTTCTCCACCTCTTCCAGCTTCTTGGCCCTCGCAGCAGCGGCGGCCCCGCGTGGCCCCTTGGCGGCGATGTAGGCCACCGCCTCACCAGAGGCCCGCAGGAGAAGCTGCTGCGAGGCTGTGAATTGCAGTTTTGCAAAAACCATTTCTACAATGACAAGAAATGACACAGCACAGCATTAAAGGAGCATTACAGGTTAAACTACATATTAACTGCTATATTACCAGGAATATCACACATAAGATTAATGATATACTGTTACTTCACATTCACTATTGAAACATTACCGTTAACAAACTAACATCACGTGACACAACAGGTAAATAATGAGCCCAGGGTTAGCCCCCTATGCATTGGCAGCCATTAAACAAACAGGCTTATTGTTAATGTATAAAACATACACTTAAACTTTATCTTTTGATTTCACCTGGTGATATTATAACCTTAAGGCTCTAAGGACATTAACTGTATAGTCTTTTCATACTTTAATTTTGTTTTCAGAGATCGTCACATGTTGTAATTATACTGTAGCATCCTAGCTACAGCTACGTTACATTACATTACATAATGGCGATCTCTCAAAATG